CTGTGGCACTTTACTAGTTAGGCTTAGATGTGGTGTGAATTAAGATTTGGTTCAGGTTAGGGTTAGGAATAAACTACTAATGGTTAGTTCTGGGTTAGGCAAACAATGCAGTTACAAAAATGAATAAAAGTCAATACAAAGTCCTCAGTTTGATACAAGTATAAGGATGTGTCTGTGTGTGAGCGAGAGTACACACTTGAGTGTGAAGGAGCCACACAATTACAACAGTAGTKCTGATGAGAGTGAAACAAAGTGGATCTCAGATATGATGATATCCAGTCATTCTCAGAGGTGTTCAGACTTGAAAAGCTTAATTTGTCTTTCTCACTTCATGTTTGTATGCAGTTGGGACTCTGTTGCCCTCTGGTGGTTGCATTTATAATTAGAATGGGATTTTCTTCTATAAACTTCCATCGATCCATCTTTTTACCCCCTTTTTTCATTTCTGGGTCACAGTGCCAGTCAYAAGCAATCACTGTTTGAGAGGTGGGGGACACCATGGACAAGTCTCCAGTCCATCACAGGGACACATAGCTATTCACACATAGCTAACAACTATTCACACCCTCCCTCGCACTTTTAGACTTACTTTTTAACATGACATGCAACATATTGGTCTGTGTGAGGAAAGCAGAGTAACATGAGAAATCCCAAAATTTCCTTTGTYGTCATCTTCAAAATTTTCTATGCATATTTTTAACACTTCTAGAACATTTTGTCTTTACTCAATTTCCAAAAGGAAACAGCTGAAGATTAAAATGCTCAGACTTTGATGCCCTCTTAAAGTGCCCACTGGAAGCAACATACAGTACAACACAATTCCATTGAGCTAAACCAAAATATTACTCATAATTTATCTCTCTGCAGAGTCATCATGGYTTCATCTTTGGCATTAGCCCTGCTAGTTTTGGTCCTCCCAGGCCCCAGCATGGCATTTTCCCCATTTGGAGGAGGAATGTCCACCCATGACAGCATCACAAAAAAGGCTGTCATGCAAATAGTTACAGAGACRTGCCGGACGGTGGTTGAGAAAACTGGTGATGATTTCAGTCCCACTGTAAGTTGGAAAATAAATCAATTTAAGGGGGTTAAACTCAAAGAAAGTTTTACTTCATCATTTTAATTATATTTTTAACACTTTTTTTGTTAAATCTCCAGGGCCCATCTCCACAGGAACTTGTCCAGGCCTGTTTAGGCTCCAGAGCAAAAGGAGATGTGTCAGGTGCCAAATTTCRTTCAGCTCTTCGAGAGATTAATGTCCAGAATGGGCTGATAGACCTTGACTTTGTCAACAGGTAAAAAAAAAAAAGAACAATAAAAAGAACAACAAAAAATATGTTTATATTTGAATGCATTGAGTTTTATTTGCTAAGTGTTTATCTGTGGAAAACCTTCCTCAGTGCTCCACATCACTTCCACTCTGAAGCTTTCTTAGAGGGGCGTGGCCTAATCATGGAGGGCATGTTGGCAATTAAGGCTAACATTCGAGAGGAGAATTTCAAGCCTGCCAGGGAGACACTGGGGAGAATCCTTCATACATTACAGGCGAGTAGGATGCACACATGAGACACATTAAAGCCAAATAGGTGACCCAAAAAATGAGGAATAAAATCCTAAACATTCCATACCTCAGATATTCATTCTACAAAAGACCTTTTAGTGTTTTCATGCATCCATTCATTATCCACTACTTGTTCCAGAATMAGGTCGTGGGGGTAGCAGCTTGAGCAGGGAAGCCCGGACCTGTTGTTCCCTATTCACCTCTTCCAGYACYTCTGGGAGGASTCCAAGGCGTTCTTAGTCCAAATGAGATACATAGTCTTTCCAGCGTGTCCTGTGTTTATCTCTGGGTCTCCTCTTAGTTGGACATGCCTGAAGCACCTCCCTAGGGAGGCATCCAGGGGGCATCCTTACCAGATGCCTACACCACCTCAACTGGCTCCACTGGATGTGAAGGGGCAGTAGCTCTATTCTGAGTCCCTCCAGGATAACTGAACTTCTCRCCCTATCTCTAAGGGAGAGTCCAGCTACCCTGYAGAGAAAACTCAACATGACAGCTTGTATCCACAATCTCATTCTTCCGGTCACTACCCAAAGTCCRTGGCCATAAGTGAGGGTACGTAGAGTGATTGGAAAACAGAGACTGGTACAGAGGMCGTAAAACTGCGTAAAACACTCATGAAAAAGACCCTGGGATACCGAAACKCCTCTACTTGAGGGAAAACKTCACCCCAACCCAGAGAGAGGAATCTACCCTTTTGTGACAGATCACAGGTCATGGTCTCAGGTTTGAAGGTGCTGATCCTCACCCCAGGCGCTTCACACTCAGCTGCAATTAGCTCCAGTGAGAGCTGAAGGTCACAGYGTGATGATGCCAACAGAACCACATCATCTGCAAATAACAGAGAAGAAATTCTGAGGCCACCAAACTGGACTCCCTCTGCCCCTTGGTTGCACCAAGAAATTCTGTCAATCTAAGTTATGAACAAAATCTGTGAAAACAGGCAGCCAACTCCCACTCTGGAGTCCAACTTACTACCAGCAAATCAAACCAAACTCTTGCACCACTTGTATAGAGACTGAATGACCCATAACAACAGACCCACAATGCCATACTTGTGTACCATCCCCCAAAGTGTACCTCCAGGAACATGGTCAAATGCCTTTTTCCAAGTCCACAAAACACATGTAGACTGGATTAGCAAACTCCCATGACCCCTCGAGGACCCTAGTGAGGGTAAAGAGTTGGTCCAATGTTCCATAGCCAGGGCAGAACTTGCATTGTTCCTCTTGAATCTGAGGTTTGACTATTGATCAAACTCTCTTCTCCAGTACCCCTGAAAAGACCTTACCAAGGAGGCTAAGGAGAGTGATGCCCCTGTTTTGGAACATGCCCTCCGGTCCCCCTTTTTGAAAAGGGGAACMACTACCCCAGTCTGCCAATCCAATAGGACTGCTCCTGATGTCCACACAATGTTGCAAAGGCATGTCAACCAGGACAGCCCCACAACATCCAGAGGCTTGAGGAAATCAGGACGGATTTCACCCAYAAAATCCACAGACTCAGCTCCCTCATGGAAGATGTACCGTAGGACTGAGAAGGTCTGAAAAGTATTCCTTCCACCTCCTGACGATATCMCTTTACACTGCCTTTACTGAACAAAGTGTTAATGAAGTGCTGCTTTCCCTGTCTCAGCCACCGGATGGTTTGCCATAATCTCCTCAGAGGCAATTGACAGTCTTTGTCCAAGGCGTCACCAAACTCCTCCCACATACAAACTTTTGTCTCATTGTCGTAGACAATCTTGCAGCCACAGCTCAACACAGCCACTTCAACAATTGAGGCACGTAACATGTCTCACTCAGACTCAATGTCCTCTGCCTCAGCTGGGATGTAGTTGAAGTTCTCACAGTGTTCTTTCAGTGTTTAACAAACATGTATTTTTTGACAAAAATTGGCTGAAGGGCAGATATGTAAGGGCAGATTGAATTTTCCATAACGTGCATGTTTTCATGCATTACCAGGACTTCTACAGTCACAGTAACTGGGTGGAGCTGGGATACACAGAGCCGTATATCAACCTCATCCGGCCAGATCTCCCTCTGGAAAACCTGGCAGGTAAATGTGTCTTTATACTGCTTCACAAACAAACAAACAAACAAACAAACAAACAAACAAACAAACAAACAAACAAACAAACAGGAAAATACATTCTATGTGTTGGGTAAAATCTCAGAAGTAAATACATTCTATGTGTTGGGTAAAATCTCAGAACTTGGACCATATCTGGTGGCCAAAGAGTAGACGTTTTTCAGGAAAATAAATATNCAAACAAACAAACAAACAAACAAACAAACAAACAAACAAACAAACAAACAGGAAAATACATTCTATGTGTTGGGTAAAATCTCAGAACTTGGACCATATCTGGTGGCCAAAGAGTAGAAGTTTTTCAGGAAAATAAATATTATAAATAAAAGAAACATTTGATTTGCTGGTCCAAGTCTTTATTGAATTTTCTTGTGCAGATGTGAACACGCCCACCTGCAGGGACTGCGCCAGTGAAACATGCYCTAATGCCATCCTCCCCCAGATCTTGCAGGAGAAAAAACTCACATCAGGCTACATGGGAGTCTACWCTTCTACAAAACCTGAAGGTAAATTGTGTATTTTTTTTGAACTATCTCAAAAACCAAGTTGAATTACACTTCAGGGTGGAAAATAATTTCAACATCCCTTTATTTAATTAGATGGCATGGCAGGAAAAAAAGTCAACCATTCTAGACAAGGATTATTTTAGAATAAAATTTAAAACATATTTTAGTGGGTTTGTCATGCCTTATAATCTTTTTTTGTTACACGTCATTATCCCCTGAAAACCTATTAAGTATTACAGTTTGCCAAGTATCAACACAAATTTATTCTATAACACTATGTAGTATTTAAATTGTACATGTTTACATAATTATAGTGTTTGTAACAACATAAAACAAAATTCAGTCTATTGAGACACATTTAAGTTGACTGTGGTCGTTGGATCAGTTTGACCTCTCTCTCCTGCTCTGCGGCAGGTAAGTGCAGTCATGGAGGTGAAGATGATCTCACCAGCTCTGTCGTTCCTCGAGGAGGCATCAGCAAAGACGAGCGCCGCTCAGACAATGTGGCTCTACATGAAGCTGCTGTAAAAACAGCYACAGCTGCCAGCCTCCAGCTGTTGGAGGACATCCGCTCAGCTGCAGGGGACAATGACTTTCTAAGGTACAACTGATTCCTAATGTCGGATCCTGATAGTCTACACTCTCTGAAACAAAACATATCTTTTTCCATTCTTGCACAATTTTTTTACATTATATTTTTTATTATTAGTAGTCRTATCATGGCTAGTCAGTGTTAATTTTGTTTTGTGTGCACTATCYATAGTTTGTAAAATAACTAGTGTGTGAACCTCTGTACGGATRCTGCTGTGACACCTGAATTTCCCCTCGGTGGGACAATAAAGGCTATTTCTATTCTATTCTAAGAAAATCATAAAAKTTTATCATCACACAAATATCGTGAGAAGTAAAAACTGTATGTTGTTCTTTCTCACAGGATGATGGGGATTGCTCGCTCATCTGTGGTGTGCTTTGTGATTGACACCACAGGCAGTATGTCAAACGACATAGCAGACGCTATATCAGTGTCTAATGAAATCATTGACAGCAAAAAGGGAACACAGGATGAACCGTCAGAGTATATCCTTGTGCCTTTCAATGACCCAGGTATAAAGAAATATATATTACTATATATTACGTCTTCATGTTACAACCGTTTCAATGTTTTTTATGTTTAAATGCTGATTTGGCTTGTATCTGCATAAAATTAAAGCTGTTTTGTKAAACACCAGATACATTTTAGTCAAAACACCTTTAACCACACTTTAGTTTTTGTGCTTAACATATTTTTTTGTTGTGGCTGCAGATTTTGGACCACTGATCAGGACCACWGACTCTGAAAAAATGAAAACAGAACTGTCTAAGCTCAAAGCAAATGGYGGTGGAGATGAACCAGAGATGTGCCTGTCAGGACTTCAGGTAYTACAAAGAGCTCTGACATGTTTAATATATAAGTTGAAAACTTTTGCAGGAGTTTGTCAAAGAAACTGAGAAAATGGATTGACTTTATTTTTTTAATTTTCCAGCTGGCTCTCACTGGTGCACCCTCCTCGTCTGAAATCTTTGTTTTCACTGATGCTACAGCTAAAGACATCGCCTTGAAGGACACTATTCTTGCTCTTATAAGAAGCACCAAGTCAACGGTAACTACAGATCACCACTGAATAAAGCTCAATGTTTAGCTGGACTGAGCCGGTGAAGTTGTTTTTAATAAATTCTCCTAAAATACTTGTCTTCATAGGTTTCATTCTTTATGACTGCAGCCTTTAAAAGGCGCCGTCGTTCTGTCTTGGCTGCTGCCTTTAGAGACTACCAGGATATAGCGTTGGCATCTGGAGGTCAAGCCATCCAGGTGTCCAAGGCCCAGCTGTCTAAGGCCACAGACATTATTCTTGACACGTCAACTTCTNAAATCTTTGTTTTCACTGATGCTACAGCTAAAGACATCGCCTTGAAGGACACTATTCTTGCTCTTATAAGAAGCACCAAGTCAACGGTAACTACAGATCACCACTGAATAAAGCTCAATGTTTAGCTGGACTGAGCCGGTGAAGTTGTTTTTAATAAATTCTCCTAAAATACTTGTCTTCATAGGTTTCATTCTTTATGACTGCAGCCTTTAAAAGGCGCCGTCGTTCTGTCTTGGCTGCTGCCTTTAGAGACTACCAGGATATAGCGTTGGCATCTGGAGGTCAAGCCATCCAGGTGTCCAAGGCCCAGCTGTCTAAGGCCACAGACATTATTCTTGACACGTCAACTTCTGCTTTGGTAAGACTAATCCAAATTTTCATTTTCTATCTGAGGCGTTACCCAGGCTTCAGGTAAAAATGTTGGTTGGTTTATTGTTATGAGATGTAAATCCATCATTTGTCTTCTTTCATCTTTCAATCCAGGTGACARTACTTCAACGAGCAAGTAATGGTGGTAGTGAAGAGACATTYCCCTTCATRTTGGATGAGTCACTAAAAAACATCACCATCTACATCACTGGAAAAGGCATAACTTTTACACTGACCAACCCTGCAGGTAACTCACAGGTCCAAACACAGTGCAGGTGGTTTAGAAAAAAAATGGAACATTACATTAACTAATGGTAAATATTACAGGCATAAGCCAAAATCAGAATGAGGCCAGTGGTAAACTGGGCACTATTAAGACAGTGGGCAACCTCTGGAGGATTCGTCTGAACTCCGACAAGCAGTCAGGAAACTGGAAGATCAACATCAAATCAACCGAGCTGTACACACTTAAAGTCACAGGTGAGATAAATATGTTTGTTTTTGCCTTATTTTGTTGGTGTTTTCCTTTCAGCTGTTACCTTCTTCTTTTGGGTAACCTTGAACTTGTTTGAACGTTTTAGCAATTGTTTTTTGCTGGTTGCTATTCATGCCAAATGATAGGATATCTGCCTTAACCAGCTGGGGTATACAAGTGCAGGACAGAGATACAAACACAAGATAAACATGAATATATAAGTTAAAATGTTTTCACTTTTTTACTCAATGCCCCTTAAAAGTGACCTCCAATGCAATGTAACGTGTTTTTTTATAAACCAGAAAATTCCATGATGAAGTTAACTATTCAGTTTCAAAGGCAGTCAACCACCCAGATGTCCATCTCCAAAGTCAATATTCAGTATTCAATGATCTGGAATGAGAATCCCATTAATAATGTTAGCAGAAAATTATGCAATGTGTGTCTTTTTATAAAACAGAAACACACATACTCAAAGCATCTCTCATGGGACATCTTAGGGAACATAGAAATRAGCCTTTTACAAAACTCATGACTGGACATCAAAGGCTTTTGACCACCTTAAAAACTTTGAATGTGTAATTTGGTCCACATTAGTTTCAAAAAGATATCATTGATAACATAGCCACAGGTTTACATGGTTTCTAGAAATTGCTTATTTCTGGTCGTTGGGTTTTCCTGTAAAAAATGTGCAAATTGGTTGCCCAAATAAAATGCAGAAAACCCAATTAAGTTATCTGTTAAATGTTTATTTTTAKGTCTAAAGGATCAGTCAGCAGAAGCATCTGATCAATATGTAATTCATGATGTGATGTAAATGTAACATTTTCTACATATAGGTAAAATTAATCACTGCAATAAAATAACTTTGTCTGTTTTTGTCACTTTTATGGTGGATTGCGTCAACTCTGTTACATCCAGAAGGGAAACCTCACTGAAGTGAAATTTAAATCTGTGGATCTGTGTTTGATTACTCTGCCTGGCTTTCTCAAGGACCAGGATGTGACACAAAAATCTGAKTTTTGGAACTGACAGTGAAAGTTGTCAAACTGAATTTTTAATAAACCAAAATACAGCTACAAAGCTAATTTATTCTAATTCAAAACTTTCAATTTAGTTTCAAATAATTAAATTCAGTTTCAATTTAGTAAAATTAATTTTAAAACAAGTGCATTCAATTTCAAATTCTGCACATTCAGATTCAATCTGAGCAATTCAAATTCAATTCCTGCTGGCACAAGATTCATCCCGCAGCAGTCCCATCTTACGTCAGCACTGGTATACTCAAATGTAAACAATTATTCTTACTCTACTGGAGCAATGCACATATTAAGTAGAGACTTATTGATTCCCTTCCTGTTTGAAGTAAATGATTCATTCAGTCACAAAGTATAAGATACTGCATATAAGTAGTAAGTCACAAAATATCCTTTAGTTCAGGCCATTCTTGTTGATTATTTTGTATTACCTTTWTGTGTTTTTGTTTGCAGGCCAGAGCATTATTACCTTCATTTATGACTTTGTGAAAAAGTTCTCAGGATCCCACCCAGGTTATTCTGTAGTTACTGGACGTCCACAAACAGGTAATCCACCTTCTATCAAAAATGTTCACAATTAACCTCAACTAGTAATTGTACCAGATGTTTAGTTAAAATTTGTAAAACTCACCTGTTTTTTGTTTATTTAATATTTTATCACCAGGTCAGCCTGTCACACTGATGCTTTCAGTAATTGGCAGAAAAGGTCCGTCTTCGGTGTCTGTTGAAGAGGTCGGCTTGGTAATTGTTTCTGGTCCTGAGGCTGTAACCAAAGGGGTCGTCTCTGATGTGGGAAACGGAGACATCCTGGTCACTGTTGATGCGGTTCCTGAGGGGGAGTTTGTAGTTGTTCTGAAAGGAACAGACAAAGTGTCCAACAGTGAATTTCAAAGGCAGTCAACCACCCAGATGTCCGTCTCCAAAGTCAATATTCAGGTTTGTAATTTTTCATCTTCTTTTATCTGCAGCTTGAATGAAGATAAAAGCAAACAAACAAAAACTAAAATAAGAATATCCAGATAAAAAACAAATAAAGAGCTACATACATTGAAACTTTTTCATGCGTAAGAATGACACTGGTGTTGTTGTGTTGTTCTTCTCTCCAGGCTGTGGTGGGCAGCAGTGTTGAGCCTGGAAAAACCTTTCTGCTCCCCTTCAGTGTGATGACCCAGGGTTCTGCTGGTACATACACCATCAGTGCCAGAAATGATAGAAACTTCCCCATGAACTTCCCAGAAAGGTGAGATAATACTGCTTTATTATGTATTTATAAATATACAAATRATCTGGAATGAGAATCCCATTTATAAATGTTAGCAGAAAATTATGCAACATGTTTTTTATAAAACAGAAAATTCCAAGAAGAAGTTAACCATTCAGTTCTGGAGGAGTTTGCGCACCTGAATGATCCTAGGAGCTATGTTGTCAGGGGCAATTTTACATGGGTTTGAATTCCTGTGGGCCCACCATCTGCAGGAGGGGCTGTATRAGTCGGGTGCATGATGCCATGGGCAGAAGCCAAAGGCGGGGAACTTGGCGCTCTGACCCTGGCCTACCAAACTGGTTCTAGGCACATGGAATGTCACATCTCTGATGAGGAAGGAGCCCATGGTGAGCGGTGCTGAGCTGATGTGGGTCTACTTTTGGCCCCCTGACTTGGTGCCTCTGTGTTAGAATTTACCTCAGTAGATAAGAGGGTAGCTTSCCTGTGCTTTGGGGTGGGGGATGGTCTCTGATGTTCATTTATACCTACACACCAAATGATTGCTCAGTGTATCCTTCTTGGAGTCCTTGTACCTTCGGAGGCAGCTGAAGAGTATTGGCAAGCCAAGTGGGCCACAGCGCTGGCCGTAGCTGAGGCACAAGCTCGGATCTGGGAAGAATTGGATGAGATCTTAGACAAAGACTATTGATTGGCTCTGAGAAGATTCTGGCAAACCATCCTGCAGCTCAGGAATGGGAAGCAGCACTTCACTACCACTGTGCTCAGTGAAGGTGGGGTTCTGTTGACCTCAGCCAGTGATGTTGTCGAGAAGTGGAAGGAATAATTCTCAGATCTATCCAGTCCCACCGTCTTCTATGGCAGAAGCAAGGTCYGAGGACGTTGGGACTGGTCCATCCATAACTGGGGCTGAGGTCTCTGAGGTAGTTAAAAAGCTCCACAGTGGAAGGGCTCCAGGGGTGGATGAGATTCGGCCTGATTTGCTTAAGCCTCTGGATGTTGTGGGGCTGTCCTGGTTKACATGCCTTTGCAAAATTGTATGGACATCGGGGACAGTACCATTGGATTGGCAGACTGGGGTGGTGGGTCCCCTCCTCAAAAATGGGGACAGGAGGGTGTGCTCCAATTATGGGGGGTATCACTCTCTTTAGCCTCCCCGGTAAGGTCTTTTCAGGGGTACTGGAGAAGAGAGTCTGATCGATAGTTGAATTTCAGATTCAAGAGGAACAATGCAGGTTCCATCCAGGCTATAGAACATTGGACCAACTCTTTACCCTCACTAGGGTCCTCGAGGGGTCATGGGAGTTTGCTAATCCAGTCTGTATGTGTTTTGTGGACTTGGAAAAGGAATATGACTGTGTTCCTCATGGTACACTGTGGGGGGTGCTCTGTATGTATGGGAATGTGGGTCTGTTGTATAGGCCACGCAGTCTGTATACAAGTGGTGTGAGAGTTTGGTTCATATTGCTGGTAGTAAGTCAGACCCCTTCAGAGTGGGAGCTGGACTCTGCCAGGGCTGCCTGTTGTCACAGATTCTGTTCATAACTTGCATGGACAGAATTTCTCAGTGCACACAGGGGGCAGAGAGAGTCYGGTTCTGTGGCCTCAGAATTTCATCTCTGCTGTTTGTAGATGATGTGGTTCTGTTGGTGTCATCGCACCAGGATCTTCAGCTCTCAGTAGAGGGGTTTGCAGCTGAGTGTGAAGAGGCTGGGATGAGGATCAGCACCTCCAAATATGAGTCCATGTTCCTCAGTCTGAAAAGGGTGGATTRCTCTCTCCAGGTTGAGGTGAAGTTCTGCCTCAAGTGGAGGAGTTTCAATATCTTGGGATCTTGTTCACATGTGAGGGAAGAATGGAGTTTGAGCTTGATTGATGGATCGTTGCAGCTTCAGCCGTTTTGTGGACCCTGTATCGGACTCTTGTGGTGAAGAGGGAGCTGAGCTTTAAGGCAAAACTCTCTGTTTACCAGTCTACATTCCTTACCCTCACTTATGGCCACAAACTTTGGGTGGTGAACAAAAAAACAAGGTCTCAGATACAAGCGGTTGAAATGAGTTTTCTTCACAGGGTAGCTGGACTCTCCCTTAGAGATAGGGTGAGAAGTTCAGTTATCCAGGAGAGACTCAGAATAGAGCTGCTGTTCCTCCACATCGAGAGGAGCCAGTTGTCCAACTGGAAGGAGACCCTGAGGAAGACCTAGAACACGCTGGAGAGACTATGTCTCTCGGCTGGACTGAGAACACCTTGGAATCCTTCCAGAACTGCTGAAAGAGGTGGAAACGGAACAGGAGATCTGGGCACTAAAGAGACGTTTGTAACTTTATTTTTTCCCTCCTTAAYGACAGACACAGTAGTTTCTCCAGTTTTCAGGCAGAGCGGTGGTGGAGTTTAGCATCTTAAGAGGAAAGAGTRGAGGGGGGCTCTGCTTGACAAAACACATGGATCCATCCATGTAACGTGATGACGTAACTTGTTCAAAATCAGTTTCTTATTAACGGCTCAATGAAGATCTGGATCCCTTCRAAGAGCCATTTATCCCATCTCTAGTTCCGCTCATCCACTAACCCGMTATTAGAGAAACTAATATTTTGATGAGTTTAGCATTACCATTAATTTTATGAACTAGGGACGGAATTGCTAAATAAATACTGCTTAGAAAAAAAGAAAAAGTAAAATTACAAACGGCTCTTTACTGCTCGCAATTCAGAAATTATTGTTTGTCTTGTGGGGCCTTTCAAAATATTCAGATAATATCTTTAACTCTTATTTGAACAAATTCTTTCAAACTAATCCTAAAAGTGCATTTTTTCCCTCTCGACAGCCTCACCCTGACGACTGGAACAGCTGGTAATCAGACACTGACCATCACTCCACCTGCCAGCACACWATCAGGCACTGATGTCACTCTGACYATTGAAGCCAAGTCATCCARTGGTGCTGACTCCAATTATGCTGTTTTGAGATTGTCTGTGGTCACCAAGGTAACCTATTGATATAATAATAGTAATATTTTGAACAATAGTATTTTCCTATTTACATCTTATTTGTGTCAAAACGAAAAAAAAATGTTAGAGTCCAAAAAAGTTTGAAAACCCTGCTATATAAACATCATGTTTAGAAAAGAAACATCATTTATTTTGTTTCTTACCTAAATTGTTGTTACAGCTCCATAAATTGCAATTAGTGCCTTTAAACAATGACATTATATTTTCATTTTCTGTTTATGAGAAACTAAAAAAAGGACTAAAGATATATTACTTTTACAAAGAACATTTGTTAAACCTGCAGCCATATTTTAAACATTGCATAATTTAATGTCCAAATTAATCAGTAATTCACAAATTTATTTCTGTTATTTTTTATCCAGATCACAGACTTCTATCAGCCCCAGTGTGAAGTGTTTGGAGTGCTGGCTGATGACTGTCCTAAAGATTTGTCCCAGTGTGGATCTTTCCACTGGGAGCTCTCAGCTAACCTGACTGATGGAAACGGCACTGGGATAGAGAGCATTTCTCTGCGTCAGGGCAACGGGACCCTTTCACACCCATCACTGCCGGCTTCCTTCATCCAAGCAAGCTACAATGCTTCTTGCTGCTCACAGATCGTTGAGTTTATAGCTGTGGATAAAGTTGGAAATGTGGGCAAATGTTATCGTTCAATTGTTCCTTCAGGAGGTTCTGTTGTTTCCAGTCTGTCACTGCCTCTGTGGYTCTGCCTGCTGGTGTCAGCTTTAGTAGGAAGACCTTGAGGGACTTTGGTTTGTTTTCACTGAATCATCTTTATTTGGTTCAGGGTACTTGGTTCTTGGTCTTAAAAGAAARCTTTTAGCTGGAGATGAGTAATGTTTTTACTTACATCAGTTGTTTGCAGCATCATCAGAGAAGTGTGTAACTAAATCACTAGCTTTGATTTTTGCAGCATAGTTACATTTCTTATGTGCATCACTGGACACAAATCAACATTTTTAACTTGCTGGAGAGAGCTCAAAATGACAACAGATTTATTCCAATGGCTTTTTAAAATAAACATGCCATACTCCATACTTTAAAATCCTTCTTTTTCACATTGGTCTAAAATCCTCTTTTTTTAAACTGTACCAGCTCCAGACTCTGAGTTCACAACAAAATGTATTTAACAGCTTAAAAAGTAGATTTTGCATGATATGTCCCCTTTAATAGATATATACCAGACTTTACATTGGTATAAATCCAGAGCAGAAATGACTTGAGCAAAGAAAAGTGTTTAACTTTAGTGTCACTTCAGGTTATAAATGTATGTTGAGGTTGTCTATTTTGAAGAGTTTTAAAGAGTATTTTTGTATAAGTATTTTTTCACCAAATATTTGTTTTTGTAAAAGTCATTATTTGACTAATTGT